TTTAAATGTCTATATATCAACTAGATTGAAGAGCAGGTACAACCTTTGTGACGTGTTTTTTACCCGTGAAGAATTGTAAGAAGACTCGTGGATGTTGTTGTTTGAGTCACAAATGACTTCCCATTTTAATCAGAACACCCTCAGCAAAGTCCCTGAATACACAAGCAGGCTTCACAATCAATCGCCACTGATTTGTATTTGGGTAGTAAAACCAGCATTTTTAAAATATTTTTTGTATATATGTCTATGGTTGAGGCAGCCCATATAGCAGAGCCCATGTATATACAAATACAGGCCAAACACTTCACTAATGAGACCAAATTGGGATGTGGGCCATGATGTAGACAGTGACAGTTGGATAAAAATGGCACTGTTTATTCATTTAGACTTACTAACCAGTGTGAACTTGATTTCAACTGCAGATATGAATCTGATGACTAACAATATTGAGTGAGCACACTGTAGCCGGCAGCTGTGAAACACACTAGAACATAATGCTTGCGGGCAATCCTGCACTGTCAAAAACCTTCCAGTTTTTATCAACAGGTTCTTTTGGCATCAGCAAGCACATTTTCTTTCCACAGAGGTGTTTGGAACAACTGTCATAACAATAGTATTGGTGTGTCAGTTGTTTAATAAAGAAGGGCTGCTGTACAGATACTGAGAATGTCTCGCCAGGTACAATAAACCAATAACCCCAAAATTATTTTCTATAGTCATTGATGCCATAACATGTTATACATGTTATTTAGTAATGTGGTCGACGTATGAATTCCAGAATTTTGTAGTACAGTTTTTTGGAGTAATTCTGTTAGCAGCATTGACTAGAACAACATTGGTCGTTACTAAAGTACCCTCTAACAAATTAGATAAAAGAAGCATTATTTAATTGTATACAGTGAATTGCATCCTGAAACTCACTCCCATTTATGTTGGTTCTTGACCATATTTCTCAGATTTTGCTTTTTACTTTGTGTTTGGTTGCTATGATAATAGTGACAAAGACAGTAAAGCAGTTTTTTCTTATTACTGGTAATCTATTTGTACTTCTCACCAAATTCCACATTCACAAATATAAATTTACAAACAAACAAAACTCAATTCTTCTTCCTCACAAAAGAAAAAAGCTATCAAAAATAATGAATGTATGAAATTATATATGTTTTTAAGTGATTTTATTCTCATACACTTATTTGTGTTTAATTTATTTATTTTATATCTGTTTTGTTCCTATTGTCTTTTTTTGTTTGGCAGCTTTTCAGGGTTTTTTCTTAGTGCTTCATCTGTATATACAGGATGGATTCTGGTGTTTTTTGTGTTAATATCTATGTTGACAGCTTAAAATAAAATATAAAATAAAATAAAAATGATGCATTAGTTAAAATTGATTTAGATGTTATCATGGATGGTATCATATACTCTTACACAGGGGTGCCCTGCAGATGTTTATAGCAAATAATAATAATAATAATTTAAAGTTTCCCTCTGGGAATCAATAAAGTCTTACATTGTCTTATACGTTTAATCAAAAGCATTCAAGGTAATTATGGGGTTAGAAAACATAATTATTTACCATGTGAGGCACGTGTAATTTCCAGAATGTTTTGCTTCAGCTAGAAACTTGCTGCCACAGTCGAATGATAGGCGCTCATTTTGTTCTCCAGTGCTGGACCACACCACCTGGCTCACAGACTTTAAGCACGGCATCATAAACATTTCCCCCTCCACAGCTCTGTAGTGCTGGTGTATATTTTGCTGAAGACCTAGACAATGGTGATACTGCAGTTGGTACAAAATCATATTTGTGTCATTTCAATTGTACACTGTGAAAAGATCCAGGACTTCCTTTGAAAGCTGTTTTTCAGCTATGATATTGTAATGCAATTGTTTTTTAAATGACATACCTGTTGTTTTCTTTTTATGGTTTCCCTCACAGCATCCTTCCAAGGAAATGGGAAAGATTAAAAAAAACAAAAAAATGTTTGTAATTTGCATCCCGCGTCTCTCAGTCATGGTGCTGATTAAATCTTTTTTTCAGTTTTGTTCACTGGTGTCTAACCACTTCTGGAGTTCTTGGTAGTCTCACATCGTGGTAAATGTTTACTCCTATTCTCTTGGGTGGTGCAACATTTTCACAGGACATATAGATGTGGTCTCGGTTTCCTGTTTTGTTGACTGAACATGATTTCACTAGAATCTACTCTATAGCTGCCGTTCTTGTTAGTTGTTAGTCATTTCCTATGCAAAACATCATCTTTTGGTAACACTATCTGTATACTCCTTTCATGATTTTAAGCATAAAAAATATAAAATATTAGGCTACAGTGAAAAAAGGAGACACAAAAGAGTCAGAGAAAGTCAGACACCAAAAGCACAGTGCATTATGCTGCTTTATGCTGTTGTAAATAGGTCTAACCTGCACATGGTGGTTAAAACCCTAATTTTCTAGGGCACACCTTTACTTTAACTGGCCTGGTTTCTAATCCCACCATATATTCTGGCCTATATTGTATCTCCCCTCCTCTAGCTCTTTCTCCGCTGTGTCTGCTTTCTATGCTGAACTTTTAGTAAACTTAAAGTCCATGTGAAAAAACATAATTTTAACCCTTTTTTTTTATATTTTACTATGTATTTAATAATGTATGCCAAAAAATGTACAAAACTCAATTTCTTGTATTTAGCATCAAAATCCAATCATTTTGTCTTCCTGTAAAACAAAATGTGACAACTTACCGATTTCAACCAATACAATGTTTTTTTGGACTGTTTTGACTATTTGTCATCTGCCTATTTGTGAAACCCCCCCCACCACCCAAACGAGGATCATCCAACTGAGGACTGCCCCTTGTTCCAACAGCCCATCATTTCGAAACCTCAATGGTCCCATGCCCCATTGCTCTGAAAGTTCTCAGTTCTCAGTGCCCTGTCATTTAGAGGCTATCTCTAAATGACACAATAGGTTGTTTGCCAATGACATTTATAACCATTGGAGAGTACCAGAGACAAGTAAGCTTGGCCTACTGGACCTTGGTCATCATGGTAACAACAATAAACATGTGGTTAGGTTTAGAAAAATGTATATGTATATGTCAGAGTTGAATCCATGGCCACGGCAGTAAGGACTTAGCCTTGGTACATGGGGCACCAACTCTAACAGGTGAACTATCCGGGTGCCTCAAAAAAATCCACTAATCAGAAGGTGGCTGTTCGATCCCCGGCACTCCTCACTGCATGTCGAAGTGTCCTTGAGCAAGATGATTAATGATTCGTTTCCTTTCTGATGATCAGTTGGCACATTGCATGGCAGCTACTGCCATCAGTGTATGAATGTGTGTGGATGAGTGTGGCATGTAGTGTACAGCGCATTGAGTGGAAGAAATCCTTTGATTATGCGGCACCGTTTTCTTAAAAGAATGCGGATGAATTTTTTGTGTTTTTGCGGGTTGGGGGGTTTGGTATTTTTGTTTGTTGTTCGTGTGCTGTTTTGGTTCAACCTTTCTGCTAGAGCATATTGTGACTTTTTTGCACGAAAATGCAGGATTATGAAATCATGCAAGCCCCGCATATTTTGCGCGGAATCGGCAATTTATGCGGCGAAGGCCGGCTATTGATTAAAATGCGGCCCGCATAAATATGCGGACTTTGGCTGATTATGCGTTGAATTATGCGATCGCATAATCGCGTTTTTCTGGAGGGACTGGACAAGTACAGTCCATTTACAATGCAGGGTGGATACAAGCCATAGGAAGGGAGAGAATGAACACATGGGCCAGCTTTATAGCCTAAAAGCCCAGGTGAGCTTGATCAGTTGACGATCCCCCCTGACAAGTTTAAGTAAAAACTTCAATGGCATTTTGTTCCATCAAAAAATATTTTGGTCCTTTAAATGTGAACAACTTAGCTGCACAGTAACTTCTTCTGTCTCCACAGAAAGTTTACCAGACCCTAATGTTAGAAACTAGCCTCAGTAAAGCATGTGTGTAATTATGCTTGAAAGTACAGGTAGTAAAACGACCAACAACAACAACAAACAAAGCATATAAAGAGGCAAAAAGTATGGACTCATTTTAATTTTGTTTTAATATAGAATATTAGAATATTATTGATTATATGATTATTGAATAATGCATGTACAAAACACATTTTATTACAGTTAAAACATATATACAACAACATATTTTGCCCTAGGGCGGGGGTAGGTAATCTGCAGGTCCGGAGCTGCATGCAGCTCTTTAGCCCCTCTCAGGCCCCAGCCCAAAAATGGTTCTTTTAATTGAAAAGGTTGCTGACCCTTGCCCAAGGCTATCACAGTAACACATTTCATGCTACAGTAAATGCAGTGACTGAGGAAATTAATGATAAAGAGCAGGATGAGTGACAGTACAGATTTTGGTGCGTATAAAAACAGAGCTTGCATGTTTGCATCATTCAAGTAAAGGTTTCCCACAGGCAACCTATATATTTTATTAATGGTATGATATATAAAACAGTAAAGTTCTGACTTCGCTCCTAGATTTTCTGAGGTAAAAGCATTATTTTTGGTGCATGCTGTGGGGCAGGTAGGTGGTAGCGTAGCTGCTTCCAGAAGGAGGAGGAGGGTGGTATGGAGCTTATGCCCTTCCAGGTGACACAGTTTCCAGCCTCACTTAGAATTTGTAAGGCCTCTGCTAACGAACCTGATCTTGATTCTTCTGTTGTCTCAGTTTTGATGAAAACCATGCGAGTCTGGCGCTCCACAAGGGCTGCATGGATGGCACTCAGCACGCTAAATCCTGGACCAGGATCTGGAGAAGTGGGAACCAAAACCACTGTCCGGCTCTGCTCTATGGAGTCTAACACTGCCTCCGCTTCAGCTGCAACCAACCAGAGTTCAGACTGTACATTACTTCATTAAAATTTTTGGATAGATTCTCCTTAAAGAATATCTTAAATACATACCTTTCCCAGGTAAGACATCACGATCATAAAGACACAGACTGTAACCAAATCTCTCTTCCAAAACACTCTCCAGCCATTTTCTGTCATGTTTATTTAGTCCTGCCTCTGTGTCACTCTTGTAACACATCAAGTAGGCATCATAGCTCTTTCCATCTAAGCAAACAACAACAAACAGATTTGTCATTGCTGCCACTGTCTGCAATCCAAAAAAAAGCACAAATATGTGCCTTGTAAACATAAGTTGTTAGTTAAAAATAAATACCTGAGATGCTGCTATGGCATCCAAGAGTGTCTCGCAGGAAAAGAGTGATGTTAATTTTGAACTTCACATAGATAACTACTGTGAAAAACATCACCACCACAGTGCAGACAATACCAAGAGCAAGGGAAATGTAAGAAGGGCGAACTGTAATAACAGAGAGAATACATGTATTAAATTGTAAAGACTCATTAATATAAAGCTGGATCAAACATAAGTCAGTTAATTGACAAAAAAACAGTCACATTTATTAGACAATGATTAATTCCAAAAATAATAAAGTAGAACTAGGCAAGATGATTTAACAGGTTTGAGATTTAAGGTATTGCACAGACATTATAGAAATAAATTCACCAATCAGGATGGTGACAAAGTCTGGGCTTTATTTATATGTAAATCGAACACAGTACTGCTAAAAACAAGCGGAAACCACATCAACAATAGTAAAGCCAAAGCTCTATCTATCCATCCATCTTGCATACCTTTTTGGGCCAAGTTGATGGTGACAAATCTTAGTTGGTTGTCAGTTTTCAGTTTACAGGTATAATTGTTTGATAGATCCTCTTTTAAAACTTTTTTGAAGACTAGAGATGCTGTTATCTCCTCAGAATCAGATTTGGAAAGGCTTAAATGGAAGATAATTAAAAAAGGCAAGTTATGTTACGTGCATGTTGACTGTTTATGTGGCCATGTTTAAACTTAATTGTAAGAGCAGGTACATCTTTGTGAAGTGTTTACCGTGAAGAATTGTAGAAGACTCGTGAGTTGTTGTTTGAGTCCACAAATGACTTCCCATTTAACCAGAACACATCAGCAAAGTCTGAATACACAACAGCTTTACAATCAATCACCACTGTTGAGCCTAGAAAAAGCAGAGTTTACACAAGATTTAAAAGTAGCAATTTAGAAGGATAGTGAATTCATGTAAGTTTGTGTATCCACAATATATTATTGAAGCTCACCCAAATCCACAGTAATTACTTCACTCTTGAGTGGTGAAGTGATCACAGCAACTCTTTCAGAATCTTCCGTGTAAAAAAAAAGACATTGAAAATATGGACTTCCATGAAGATAAATCCCAAAAAGTGTTTTTCTTACCGTTAGGTTGGACATCAAGTTTTACTGTAAAGGTCCTGTTATATCTTTGACCATTGTACTGGTAATATCTGGTACAGGTGTAGGCACCACGGTCTTTCTCTTCCAGACTTGGAAAATAAACAGTTGGGACTGACTCACCTTCCTACAAGATGGAAAATTAATTTCCATTAAAAAAAACGACACAGTACATACATTCTTATTTCACTATCAAATCTAATTTATAGTCAAAAGTCTGTTGTGTTTAAATACCTTGTGCCATATAATGCCTTTGCTGGTAATATTCAGGGTATTCGCAGCAGAGATATTTACACTAGGGCAATATAATGCGCAGGACTCTTGTGTGTAACATGTCCTAGTGGACGTGGTCCTCTCTTCATACTCTTTGGTCTGTGTTTTGTATACGGTCAGCGTGAACCAGAACTTTCTGCTGGCATTCCTGTCATTTAATAAAAGAAAAAGAGAATATGAGGATTTCACATTTGTTGTAAATTGTAATCTCTTACTTTTCTTGACGCGTCATCATGAGGTAAATTCAGTTTATGACCAAATACCTGCAAGTAATGCCACTCCCATCAGCCTCAGCTCTACTTTGTGCTGTATTTAGTGCTATTTATCAAATGTTAATATACTTATATGCTAAACATTAGCATGTTAGCATTTACCCGCACTTACCACAAGTAGATACATCATCCCAAACTGTACTCCACCATGAGCAAGCAAAGTACAATGATCGAGTGCAAGTAACACTATTTTTGCTTAATGGAAATAATTAATAAGAACCTCCCCAAATTCCGATGAAAAGTTAGTCATCGTTATAGCAAAAAATAAGTTCCCGCAAAATGAGAAATAATGTGATACATTTCTGAACTACTATGCCACTTTCATAAACTTCAGTCTCAGACTTAGAAACGAAAGGCCTCTATTTAAATGTGTTTTCTGGGATGTCTGTTTGCAAATGTCGAAATACAGGAATGCTGTTTATCAATTTGGGAATGTTTGTAGATACTTTACCCCAGAGAGCATGAGTAATTCCCCTGATGGAAAACAGAAACACTGAGAATCACAAGGCTACTGCCATGTACTAGAATGCCCATCGGCCTCTTTTCCGCTGTCAGATTCATCTCCTGGGTGGTGTAACTGGTCCAGATCAGTTTGTTATCATTATGCTTATACCCTCTGTAATGAGGGCACTGCAGCGCCACCAGTTCACCTGTTCTGACATATATCTTTCTGGCTGTCTGGGGACACACACCTGCAAAGACACACATTTTAGTTTATTTTACTATGTAACATTATTACATGAACTGAAAATGAAATGTACCAATCAGAGAATTGCTTCAATCAATGAAAGCACAAGATGTTATTTAAAGGAATATTTAAACATTTTTGACTTAGAGTTAGAGATGAAGATTGACACCACTCTCATGTCTCTACAGTTTACCCAGCAGCCAGTTAGCAGACGCCTGCTGGCGAGATGCAGCCAAGCAGAGGCAGAGTAGGGCAGGTCTTTCCGCATAGACAAGAGCAGCCCATCCCGCTACTTTGGCCTTGTGTCGAGCCCCCGTGCTCTTTCGGGTGGAAGCGGCCCCTCTAATTTAACTGGCGGGAAATGCTAATTCAGAGGTCTTTGTCAATTTAATAGCATAAAATAAGAGTACCATATTTTTAGTGATTATGAGCCAAATCCTGTGATGTGACATCATTGTTGATCAGTGTTGCTATAAAGAAACTAGGGTCTGACTCATCTGACACTGTTGCTATTGTTAAGAAACTGTTTTTCCCCCAGTTTTGGTTGTCTGTGCATTTCTGTAAACTAATAGCATCGCTGTCGTGAAGCAGAATGTTTTTTATTAGACATTTTACTGTAAGCCGACAGAAGTAGAAAATAGTCTGTTTAAGCTCCACTTCCTACATCGCTTTATACTGTTTTAGAAGGTTTATTATTAGAAGGTAGGTCAGTTTATGTGAATTATTAAGGTTAAAATGCCCTCTGCTCCACACTGCCAAACCAAAGTCTGTTTTAATAATGGGTGTTTTATGTCATATTTTTTCACAGTAAAAACTTTATTTATTTATTTACTTATGTCATTTGATGTGTTCATCATACCTCATCACCAGGGTTCTAATTGATTACCAGCCAATTTGGCTGGTAACTTTCTAAAGTCACCATCACGACAGTGTTCATGGGAAATGTAGTCAGTACTGCCCAGGGAGCGCGAACAGACAGTAGAGCGGCTCTGACTGACATGACTGCCTCATGCATCACCGGCCAAACTGGCTAGTAAGTTTTTATTAAATTTTTTTTGGCGGGTGTTAATTTAGAACCCTGCAGTTTTCCCATTCCAGTTTCTTATTTCTCCTTTATACTTTTTCTTACTTTGTCTTTCACTCCTCAAAGGGAAAATAAACTGAGGGCTCGTGTAAAATCAATCAATCAATCAATCAAATAACCGCAGTGACGTGAAAAGTACAAAAGATCCCTCTGAAAAGTATTACATAAAAAGTAAATAGAAGTATAAAATACATCAAAGCAAATGAAACCCGTGTGATTAAGGAGCGAGCGCTCTGAAGACGAAGACGTCGCTGGATGCGGAGGGAATATCTGAATAACCTTTAAAACTTGATGAGACGTAACCTATAAGTATCCTACATCAACTGTCCCTATACGTTAAGCACCACATGTTAAACCTGTTAAAAACAACAGATTTACATATTGAATTGAGTTGTCGAATTCCCATTTATGCCTCTAGCTAATGAAATGAAATGTTCTTACCGGTCAGTAATGTAAGGAGGGGAAACGAAAGGGCTGCAAGCATTTTCACCGTCGTCATGATGATGTTTCGCATCAAAGTATCCTTGAGAGTGTAGCAGCATGTCTTTGAGCAAAGTTAAAGTCGAAATGGAAAGTGAAAGACTATTTCAGAAAGCAAGGACTGACTTCCCAGTTTATGACTTCAGTTATGCAATTCCCATTTTACTTCATTTGATAATAGATAATTTTACAATTGTACACATGGTATCCTACTGACTATTATCTTTTCCATCCATTTCCATTGGCGTATTGCGCAACCGTTCATGACCACTGTAAGGGAGCTGAATTGTTATGCAACTCACTCCTTGGAATTATATAAAGGCTTAAACTTATAGGTCAAGGATCCAGAAGAACAGGTTCCTTCTGTAAGAGTGTCAGAGGCTACCACCCACAATTCACTGCAGTTATGTATTACATAGACTCTATTTCTTTATTTCTTTTTTTACTTACTTACTTACTGGGAACAGTTCACATTATTGAACATTTAAGAGTACATACACATCAATGTAATTGTTCCAAAGTTAATGAGCTTTAATCCATATGGAAATTACAGATCAAATTGCTTTTCATTTTCAGTTTTTCATTAAAATGAAACTGCAGGTACTTTGGACTTCCAATCACATCAATGGACCATGTTTTATTTGTGCTGGCATTTGAGTATTAGTCTGGTGATGCCAGGGTATAAAATAAAGACTATTATATATTATTTCATTAGATTATTATTACTGATGCATTCATGTAAAAACACTGAACTTGGTTGAGGTGGAGCTCATTTTGAACTTCACATAGTACTGCAACTAATTATTATTTCATTAAGGATAAATGTGCTGATTATTTTCTCAATTCATCGATTTATTGATCGGGTTGTAAAAAGTTATAAATAATAGTGAGAAATGCCACCATGATAACCCAGAGCCCAATGGACACCTTCACAATGTTTGTTTTGTCCAACCCACAGCATCAAAAAATTTAAAAGAAAAAAGAAACAAAGAAAGAAATAGAAATTAAAGCTGCACGCAGTGATGGATGGGCCCTCTCAATCTGAGCGCGTTGGGGTGGACGTTACTGGAGGTGGGTCGATGTAGTCCAGAAATGTTTACTCGTTTAGCTACACTGAGCGAAGGAGTCACTTCCTGTGTCCCCCATGTGGGGCTAAAAAAATCCATTAATTGTTATGTGCCAGCACATCAAGTATAAAGCACACCATGAAAATGTCATGTACATATCAACGATTGTCACACGAGGCTTACTTCCTGCTGCCAGTAGGTGGCACTGTGACTGAATAGGTGATAGATGGGCGGGACTCTTCACAATCATGCGAAGTTAGGTGCAGATTGTTTTATGTACACTCAAGTTACGACAACGTCGTAATTTGACGCCCGAATACCATCAACGTGGTAATTTGACTCCTGAGTACCACCAACCAGTCTGCGGTGAAGTGTGGAAAACTGGAATCTAGTCATTGCCTTTTTCTTATGACTTATACTGGATAATTGTTATCTAATCTTTATGCATCACTGGTGACATTTTAACGGGGTATTTCCAGAACAGCACAACATTATTCTAACTGTTTTTACTCTTTATAATGACACACAATTTCTGTGTAAAAACAGTCGGAATTGTTTTGGAATTATTATTATTAAGAAAGCAGACTCATGTGTTGACTATGCTCAGAGCATGTTGCCTCCTGAATATAGTTTAATTATAGCGTCCTTGAGGCTTTCCATTATAATAATGACAACTACAAGATGAAACTCGAACTCCTGCTCTGTTAGTTTTGTGTCAACCGCAGTGACAGAGAGCCTGCCCTGCGGGGGTATTGCTAATGGCAACCTCGTCTTGATCTCTGGCAACCAGGCAGCAGAGACACATTACTGTAACGTTTGAGCGTCATTCTGGGATGATTTGGGCTTATTAAAGATGACCGACACACTGCGGCTGGCGGCAGAAGCGGACAGACGGACTTTACCGACCCTCTCCCAGCTCTCTGAAAACGGTCGGATAAAAAACTTGTATCATTCTTTGTGTTTTTGCTGTTACTTTATATAATCTGTTGCCTATACTACACACAAAGTGCGCACTGTGTCATACTCTGAACTGCTTTTCAGATATTACCTGTATCTGGGCTGATGTATCCGCCTACATTGAACGTCAGATGACCTTACAGAAGGTTAGGCTGCCTATCTATCTATCTATCTATCTATCTATCTGAAACTGATTGGGTCATTTGATTGTAATAGGGGGTCCATCTGGTAGGACTGGGGACCTTCACCTTTTCTCAGCAGAAGTTGGACATAGGAAACAAGTTCACAGTGATCCAAAGACCCATCTTTCTCCTTGCTGGGAAACTAGTCCAGTCTCTGGGTTTAAAGCAGGTCAGGCCACTTGCTGCAGGTGAGCACATCTTTAATATATGAGTGTATGTTTGTGATATGCTGTAGTGCAATATCATAATATATAACAGTTTGAATTGCTGTGCAGTATATTATAGTGTGTGCTGGAGAATTGGTAAGTGAGTAATTGTTGTTGCTAATGGTAATCCTATTAATAATTTAAATGTGTGAAATGCTCATTTCTATTATTGACATCATGTCATCATCATCATCAGCACAGTAGAGACACAGAGTACCAGCATATGGATAAAGTATAGACAGATCTGGAAAATTAAAAGTCCTGAAAACATATTCTTTCAATCAGCTGCTTGCCATGAGTGCAATGAGCTAATGTTGTCACACTGTTTTCCACCAGTCATGTGGTTATTTCACATAAGAGATTTGTTTTTTCCTAGTGCAGTCCACACTGGTTTGAAGTGGGCGGGGTTCAGTTAGAAAAAGGTGAATAGTTGAATCATAATCTCATGACAGTTTGCTTGGTTGTTGTCAATCAAATCAGATCAAAACAAACAGATGAAATTGGTTTTTCAGTGTTAACCTCTTAATAAACAATAACTAAAGGTGTTTTTTATTTAAAGTTACAGATAATTAAGAATTGAAGCCAAGTTTTCAGGGCTTTAATCAAAAACAGAGAGACAAATAAGAGATAATTAAGATTTAGATTTGTACAGTGGGGTGGATCAAATCATTGTTTTTGACACATTAACAAAAGAACAATAAGGATTTGTGTGTGTGTGTGTTTGTGTGTGTGTATGTGTCCCTTGCAGCAACACACCTACCAGTGGTGCAACTGAACTTTGCCGCTGTGTCACAAGAGACTCCTTTCAGTCGAGCTGTAGTGGAGGGCTGCATTAGAGAAACTCTTCTGGTCCTTTTCAGAGCTTTGGCCTCTGAACAAAATGTGTTCCTCACCTTCCAGGGAATTGGAGTTCTGTCCTTTAAGAACAACAAGGTGGCTCATACGGTATTTCTTATGCTGTGATTATCACATTGTTGTGGAATTTGGGCACTTGTTTTTCCTTGTTTAATCTCATCTGATGTTATTCAAAGGCGCGGATGAAGTTCAACAGAGATTTTATTAATACCATGGATGGAACCGGTAGGCTGCTGTTAGCCTTTAACAATGTGAGTATAAGATATTGCCTGTGTGTTTGTGTTACAGTATAATGTACAGTATATGTACTCACACAGATCACTGGTACTTTTGTCCCTCCAGAGACCTGGGAGCAGTGTCTCTCTAATGTCTGGTGGACTGTCCAGGCTTCAGAGGCCACAAACTGCCAACCCCATCACCCTGCCAACTGTCTGCTCCCCTCAAACAGACAACAAAGCTGGTGACAAAGATCTATGGAGCTTGTCACCAGCTCCAGACCAGAGGAATGCAGGAGGTGAAAGAGTTTATTTTGCACAAGGCTGACAATATGGGATTTGATAGCACTTTAATGAGTCTAAATTAATTATTCCAAATCCTTTCAAATCAATATCAATTTGCTGCAAAGGAAAAAGAAATGCATTCCTAACTGTGAGGATGAGCTGGTGCTGCAGTAGCTGTAATAAACATAGTGTGCTGGAAATTATGTTAATTATCATTCATCATATGTACAATGTGCAAGAATTGCTTTAGCTTTTTGGAGGATTAGTTATTGTCGACATTTTGGGAAAAAAGGCTTATTTGACCTGTGGCTCCAGCTTGTTGGGGTGGAGCACTTAGAGATTAATGAGTCATAGCATTGTACCAACTTCAACTTAGAACAGATATATTCTAACATATCTAACATAACAGAATGACAGAATTAACAGAGAGTGTAACAGAGGTTGAGATACAGCATAGAAAGAATAACTTAAGAGCAGAATGACAGAATCAATAATGATAGACTGAAGATAAATGCAGTTATGTTTAGGGAAAGTGGACCTACTCAGAGTGTTGTGTGTCTCTACAGAATTTCCCCAACAGAGAGAAACTAAATCCCTCCAGACGCCGCAGCCCGTCACAGTGAAAGCTGAAGAAGAGAAGTACTACACACACAAAGACACAAAAGCTCACAGACAGACAACCACACACGCTCTATGGGGTGGTTCAGTGTGCAGTGCACAGAGCTGTTGTTTTCAGGTAGATGAGTCCCTGAGAGCTGAGAGCTCAGTGGTGGTCTTATATTGTTACTCCCCAGAGGCAGATTCCAGCTCCATCAATGATGCACAACTACCTGTGGGACAGATTCCTCTTCTGTCATCACCTCCCTGCACTGTCAGCATTCACACACACACACACACTTCACAGAGCTGTAATCTGGGTAAATTGCCATGGTAAAAAAAAATCTCCAGGACAGAGTGTGATGACAAGAAGGAAGATATAGTTTTGAACAATTCCCAAGTTATTGTTTTTATCTTGTCATCCACCAATTCCTGCTGTGCACCAGCAGGTGGTTATTTACATTGTCACAACAAATGTACTTTCATTTTTCAGTTTATAATTAGGTCACTCTCTGTTGTTGTTTTTAGAAACCCTCTTCACACCTCAAACACACATGCATAAATATATGTATACAACAGCTGTTCATAAGAATTTGTGATTAACCCACTGTGATGAAGTTCATTTTTGTATTTTAATTTAAAAGTTATGGTCCCTTAAATTGGTATAAATTAAAACACTTCATAACAAGCTTATTTATTCAGTTTATATTGAAATAAGTACATACTTTTTCTGGTTCTATAACATAACCTAAAAAACAAGGAGTGAGCTTTAGGAATGATCTTATAAATAATGTGTAATATAATAACCTTTCTAACATTTAAGTACAATTTCTTATGCATAAGGAAATCACACTGGTTAAATCCACCTAATAATAGGTTATAATAATAACACCACAATTTACGAGTCGTTCCTTTTATATACAGCATACTGTAATAAATAATCTGTTTCTACTCCCAGGCCTGAGACCTCAGTCTCACCACCAGAGGTCTCTCCCAAACTGGAGCAACCTCTTGTGAACATTAGCTGCTCTGGCCACGCCCGTGCGGGACAGGTAAGTGTGTAGGCGTGTTCATGTATGTGTGGAATGTAGGTCTGTGAATGTAGATCTAATCTGGCTTCTACAGTTGTCTCTTAAAATTCAAGGTAAGGGGTTCAAGGTGTCTTTATTGTCTTGGTGGAGTGGCTGGGAAATGAGATGTTATTGATAGGAAATTAGATTTTCTTGATTGATATGGATCTATGAATATAATAATATAACCCTGGGTGTACCCAACCCCTCAACAAGTGTGTGTGCTCTGATAGGCTCCAGCACAAGATAGTTTAGAAAATAACTCAGAGCTTGACAACACAATGCTAGATGTAAACCTTTATTGCTTTTGGGGGAGCTCAGGTGTCTGTCAAGGCAGCTGTAAGGATGTTACTAAATCTGAAAATAATATGAACAACATAAAATGCATCTACAAAATATTTACATTCAAAAGCCTGTGAGGAAAACAATTATATCTTTACATTACTAATGAATTACAGTGATAATTGTCAGTTTCTTGTGGCCTTGTCATCATAGGAGCTGTGCTACCTGTGTATGCAGCGGGCTCAAAGAAATGTTCCAGTTTACCTGAGAGAGCAGCAGCAGGCAGAGGAGAAAGCTCAGGAGAAACTCTTACTGCTTAAAGAACAACAGAGAGACAAGCAGTACATGGACAAAGAACAGGTGTGTTCATGTGCTTGTATTTGTGTGCACAAATGTGCGCACTTGGTGTGTTTGAGTTGTTGTTTTTTTTCAGACAACTTTTCAGCAAATTTGAAAAAAAAATGAAAAGTTGCTGATTGTTTGTTGATTCATCCCAAACATCCAATCTACCGACAGCACAGACATTGGCTGTAAGTTAGCTAGAAATGGACGTACCAACTGTGTCAGCGGGAGTGTGTCTCTGTGTGTTTTTGTGAAGCTCAGCCTGATCTCCAAACTCACCAGGGACTCCTGTTCTTTTTGTAATTTCCCTCCAGTCTCTCTCCTTTTTTTCTCTTTTCCCTGTTACTTTCAACTTGTGCAGTCAGATTCATCATCATCTCATCAATTCACGGCCTCTTGCCATTATCTCTCCATTTACTTTGTATAAAATCGTGCCACCTCTAAAATTTGCCTCGTGTTCAGTCTCGAAACAGACTCTACAGCCACGACTCACAATGCCTCTTCACGTTTAGCACGTATAATAACTACTGTGGACACCATCTTAGCTTGTTAGTATACTGACATTTGGTAATCAACACAAAAACAAGGTACAGCTGAGGCAGATGGGAATGTAATTAGTTTTGCAGTCATGTGGTCATACTTTGGTTGGGTACATTTTGACCTGATGATGGTGCTAGATGAAAAGTAAAAAAGGGATAACCAACGTTATTACAGTTGATTCTGAGGGAAACATGAATGTCTGAATCAAATAGCAGTCCATTAGTTGTCATGATACTGCAGTCTGGGCCAAAGTGGTGGATGAACCAACATGAAACGCTGCTAGTGTAGCTGAAACTATGATTGTATATTTGTATGATATTTAAAAATAAAGTAAAATACTCAAATAAATAGATGTATGCTTATTTTGTATTTTATTTTGGCCGTAATACGTGTTGCATACTGTCTGCTGCAGTTTGCAAAGGATTTAAAAGTGCTCTGGGGACTTTTTGTGGTTTAAGGTAAAAACAAAAACACACCACATTGAGGATGTAGAAACTGTTTGTTCCACAAAAGCACAAAAGGCAAGCAGCAATAACTACTAGTTAAGCAAATAAAAAACGGAATAGAAAAAGGCTGAGGATTTATTTTTCCTCTTTACAGCCCTGGGATATAAGTATCGAACATGTGGGATATTATAATTCCAAATGAAACAACTTTAAGTGCACAAAGTGTTTGCCAACATTATATCATGGTTGTATAAAACGGCCTCTAAAACAGATTACAATGTCCCTCAAAATCGATTAAGCGGCCAAAGAAACTGCCCTTCATTTTTTTCCATTGTGAGGATGATATGTTATGCTCTTAATATCTTCTCTTTTTCAAAAGGCGTGTTTTTGTGTGTTCATCTGGCAGGCAAAGCTTAATGAGCAACGTGAGCATGCAAAGCAAATTGCTTCATTCAACCTGCAAATGTCCGACAAGAAAGAGAAGACTTACAGTTCTCTCTTCCCTGTGAGTAGAACCTGGACATTAAAGTTGTAATCCTTAAGATTTATTCCTTCATGCTACACAGCAGAAGTAGTTTTCTACACGACAGCAGGGAAGAGGAGAGGTGTGCCTGCTAACAGCTCACTGTGGTTTCTGCTTTCTGTTCTAATATTTCATTTAAAACTGATACGAACTGTGAGGCTACTGAAAACTACTATACAGACAGGTAAAATGCTCATAAATAGAATAAAAAATAGGGTTTGAGTTCATAAAAATCTTAAGGATTATTACTTTAAAATGATCACAGCAGCTCTTGTCACTCACTGCAGCGTTTTAGTTCAGTGGCTTTTAAAATTAAGTGTCTTCTCTGGCCTGCTTGTGTTTAGACTTCATTCATCTTCCCGGCTCGGCCTCTCACTCCTGTCCGGAGCGTTCAGCAGCATCGTTACATGAACGAGCTTCAGAGCCAGATAGAGAGCCGACGGCAACACGAGGCTCGAGACCAGCAGAACTGTCTGCTCATGGAGCGTCTCGACCAGGTTCAGCTGGTCCAGGAGTGAGTCTGTAACAGCCTGGTGGTACTGCTCAAATAATCTGTTGTGATAAATAGTGTGTCATCTGGTTTTTTATGTTTGCGTTTTAGGATAGCTTTGCAGAAGGCTCAGCAGCTCCAGCAGAAACACGAGAGAACTAAGCATTACAAGAGGGCTCTGGACACTCAGGCAAGAAATTACATTTTGCATAGGAGGTTGTTGAAAATATATTATAAAGCAGGTGCGGACAAGCAATGATCACCAGTAGGGTGAGAAGTGAGTAAAATTATTCTGGGAATGACAGAGGTACCATTTACCCTACAAGTCAGTGTAGCATAAAAATTATTTTGAAGCTGTTATTTTAAGGTAGACAAGTTACATTATAGAGCTTTAACTGAACCTGTTCTGGCTTAGAATAAAATAGTTACATTTTATCTGAATAACAACAAGAAGAAGTAAGAAATAGCCTTAGTAATGGACAAGCATGTTCTATATCTGTATCCCACTTCTTAACTCATCTTGAGGCAGTGACAGATAAATAAGCCACTACTACAAACTGTAGCATAAAAAACCTGAATCTCACGTGGCATTGTGGGCAATGTGTGCACCAAGTTAGAAGGAAAAAGAGGAAGTGACAAGCTGTGGTGCTTAACCGTGTGTCAAACGGCTAGGTCACATCTGGCCCAAGTGGCTTGTTATGTTTGCTCTTTCGTAACGTTACAGCTGAAATGAGTTTGTTCTGTCCTTTAGGTGGGAGATAAGAAGTGCACAGACCCTCCAGAGTGCCAGTCTGATAACTCTGGGATCAACCGCTGTGAGACAGCAGCCAGCAACGCAGAGAGCCGAGAGAGGGCACAGAAGGTCACCCGTTTCTTATTGCTGCCATAAACCTGGCTTTTCAGTGTGGCCTCATGCAGATGGCAGAAATACCTATAGTCATAGTTGTTTAAGTATATTAAAAGTCTCAGCATTGTTTTTTTTGTTTTGTTTTGCAGTGGTGGAACAAGTTCTCAGATACTTTGCTTAAGTAAAAGTAGTAATACTATAGTGTAAAAATACACTACACAATACACAAGTAACAAGTAAAGGTCCTTTTTAAAGTAGAGAAATAATAGAAATGTATACAAATTCACCGCTTTTACAGTGTTATATTATTAAATATTATAGTATTGAGAATAATATAATTGAGGCATTAACATGCTCATTGTAAACTTTATATTATATACAGTAGGATTGTCTGAACTTTAAAAATGCATCATATTATGCTTTGTACATAAAATCTTATTAACAGGCCCACAAATATTCTACACTTTCTACACTTTAAAGTTGGTGTAATGTTATTTTATATACTGCAGCTCTTCCAGGTAAATTTCAGTGCTGCCACCCAGAGGAAGAAGGAAGAACAGCACAACCGCCAAAAACAGCTGGAGAAAGAGAGAGAAATTCTCAAACTGAACAAAATGGAGTGAGTGATAGACGGGGGGGGATAGATAACAACGAAGATGTGGAGAAAAAGGCAGCAGCCTTAATCCAAAACACGTTTTTTCTGTGAAAACAATGTCTCCCTGGTATGTTTCCTGCACAGATTTATGTTGGACCGCATAAATCGCTTTGAGAAGAGAAGGGACCTCAGTAAATCACTAGAGGATGAGTGGAGTCGCAGTGCGAAGCTCAAACACCAACGAGAGGAAGAGGAGAGGCGCTTCCTGAGGTGTGTGGATGTAGGATCACCTTGAGCCTCCATCAGCTTTCACCCGAGCATTTACATCTATTCATATATTCATAAGTTGGTTAAACATTCACTGAACTTTTCTACAGCACTGTAATTAAACTTCAAAATGTTATCATTAGAATGTCAAAACTAGGGATGTGCTGATTCAGTAGATATTGAAAAAAAGATCTATTAGCTTTAATTATTACATAAATGCTCAACTAAACATTGGGCTATGTATTTGTTCCTTCAAAGGAGTAGAATATTTGTTTCAATATGTTTGAATATGACGTTTTTTTTAGATGGCATGGTTAAACAAAGTGCGTCCATACAAATTATTAACAGCTTAATCATTTATGAGAGGGAAAAAGATCAGATTGGTATCGGCAGATACTCCAGGTTTGGGTATCAGTATCGGACATGGAAAAGTGGTATAGACCTATTGCTTGTCAAACCTGCTACAATATCTGATTGTGATGTACTGTACATTGTTACTGACTGACCTAGAAAATCAATCGTGGCCTACATCATTAATGCAGGTCGACATGTTTTCCTGCTCATTAATTCATCCTTCTGTGCTTTATTCTGTCTCCCTGTGGTCAGGTCTGCTGGTCAGCTCCTGGTAGATAAGCTTGCACAGTACAGGCGCTGCTGTCAGTGCAAACGGAGGACCACTAACGGTGGAGAGACCAACATCTGGAAAGACTCTCATTATCTCTCTGGCTCCCAGTTCATGATCTGATGAACAGTGTAGACCTCGGCCCTTGTAACTCATCACGCAGCAGTCATCAAAGTTTAAAATAATAAGTTAAGCATATGTGAAGCATACATGCATGTTATGGTGCGCAGTATGCGCTATCCTCTGTTGTAATGTGAGATTTATTCTTGGTCCTTTCCTAAATTAATCTTCGAATGTTTCTTGTACTTTTATTTTCCCCATATGGTTGTTTTTTGTATTTGTATGTCCAATGGTTGCATGTTACAATACTCACAGATAATATATCCATTCAATAAAATTACATATGTCAGCCCAATCAAAGATTTGTTTTCCTTGACGATATACCTTGTTCTAAACTCAAACAATTGAA